TCAAAACTTCATTGATTACTTTCCAACCCATCTTTTTATCCGTCTCTATCTACCTCTTTCCTTCAGCTCAGATCTACTCAGCCATGGTCTGATGCATAACATTCGCCCGATAACTCGCGCTCCTCTCCAACAACTCCTCGTGCCGCCCCTGATCCACACACCTCCCCTCCTCGATCAAAAAAATGCAGTCCGCCTTCCGGATCGTCCGCAACCTATGCGCAATAGCAATAACCGTCACGCCTCGGCTCGCCTTCTCCAGCCCGTCCTGCAGCAACCTCTCGCTCTCGGCGTCCAGCGCGCTCGTGGGCTCGTCCAATATCAACAGCCGCGGCCTCCGCACCAACGCCCTGGCGATAGCCAACCTCTGCTTCTGCCCCCCCGAGAACTGGCTCCCGTTCAGGCCGCAGGGGGTGTCGTACCCCTCCGGCAAGCCAAGAATGACGTCGTGGATGTTGGCCAGCTTGCAAGCCTCGTGGATTTGGTCCATGGTGGCTTCCTGCGGTCCTGGTCGGGCGCCGAGGCCGATGTTGAATGCCACTGTGCCCTCGAAGAGGACGTTTTCTTGGGGGACGAGGGCGATGTCGTCGCGGAAGGTGACGGAGCGGGATTTGGTCACGTCGACTCCGTCGATGAGGATGCTCCCCGATGAGGGTGTGTAGAGCCGCTCTACGAGGGAGATGATTGTAGATTTACCCGCTCCCGAAGGGCCGACGAGGGCGCAGAACTGGCCGGGCTTGATGTCTAGTGTCAATCCGTGGAGGACTTCTGCGTCCGGGCGGGCGGGGTAGGAGAAGTGCACTGCGTTGAATTGAATCGAGGACGCGGTGGTGTTCGAGGTGGGGGTAGGAAGTTTGCCTTCGACGGATGCCTCCGGGTCGGGAGGAGAGACGGCGGGCGTAGGATCGTGGATGCGGCCCTGCATCTTGTCGCTGCCGATCTCGATGAGGGACAAGATGCGCGCCATGGCCGCCCGTGCGTTGGACAGCTCCGGCGCGAGGGCGAACATCTGCGACCAGAGGAGGGCGCTGACGAGCAGGGAGAAGACGACGATGAGGAACTGCGTCTGGGTGTAGTGGCCCGCGATGATCTGCTTCGCGCCCCACCAGTAGGCCAGGGCGTTGACGCAGTTGCCCAGGAAGTAGGAGATGGCTTGACAGAGACTGGCCTGGATGGTGACGGCGAACGTCTCCTTGCGCGGCGCCTTGAGGGAGCGGCGGTAGACGGCCAGCGTCTCCTCCTCGAGAGACAAGGAGGCGACGGTCTTGATGCACGTCACGGCCTCGGTGCCGATGTCGACGGATTTCGTGTACGCGTTCTCGTGGCGGTCTTCGAATTTGGAGAGGACGCGGAGCTGGACCACGCCCGCCCCCAGGAGCAAGGGGACGAGGGAGAGGCAGACCAGGGCGATGCGCCAGGCGATGATGTGCGTCATGACGACGGCGGCGACGAGGTTGACGGAGATGGAGAACAGCGTGCCGATCACACTGCCGCTAAGCCCGGCCAGCGCGTTGCCGTCGCGCGTGATGTAGCTCAGCAGGAGGGCGGGCGTGCGGCCCTCGGACTGGTGCCAGTGCAGGTCCTGCTCGAACAGCGACCGGAAGGAGAGGACGCGGACGGAGTAGACGATGCGCTCGGAGATCCAGCCGAAGCCGGTCCAGCTGATCAGGTTGGCGAAGAACTCGATAATCGCCAGGACGAAGAACATGAGGCCGAAGAAGTCGCCCTTGGACCGGATAAAATCTGGCGTCTTGCAGAGGTTGAGCGAGGCGACGGTGTTGCCGAAGATGACGGCCTCGCCCGAGAAGGCGCCGCCTACCACCGTGGAGCCGAGGAGGGCGACGAAGATGACGAGGAGGTGCGGGCGCAGGGCGGGCGCGTAGCCCTTCGCAAGGGCGCGGAGGGATTTGGTGGGCGTGGCCATCTCCGCTGCCTCTGGCTCTTCTGCCGGGTACGAAGATGTGACGGCTGTTGACGGTTGGGGCTTCTTCTCGTTGGAGTCGTCATCGTCATATTCTGAGGAGGAGACCTTCTCGACGTCACCGGCTAGCGAGCCGTAGTCGGACTTGCTGGCTGTGTCGGTACTTGTGCGCGTGGCGGTCTTGTCGGACGCGGGGCCGAGGGTCTGAAGACGGACGAGCTCAGCATATGCGCCGTTCTTGGCCATCAGTTCGGAGTGGCTTCCCTGTTCGACGACGTGGCCCTTGTGCATGACGATAATGTTGTCCGCCTTGGCGATGGTGGACAGACGATGGGCGATGGTGAGGACCGTCCTCCCGCTGGCGATCTTGTTGATGGCGTTCTGGATGCGCTGCTCGCTCCTCGAGTCGAGGGCGGCTGTTGCCTCGTCCAGGATGAGAACGGCGGGGTCCTTGACCAGGGCACGGGCGAGGGCGACACGCTGCTTCTGGCCACCGCTGATGAGCCGGCCGGCGGCACCGACTAGTGTGCCGTAGCCGTGCTGCAGGTTCGTGATGAAAGTGTCCGCGTCTGCGAGGGTGGCTGCTTCACGCACCAGGGTCACGAGCTCGACGAGTTCCGAACCACGTGCCTCCGCTGCGGCGATAAGATCCTTGCCTTCTCTGACATCCACTGCCACATTCGCGAGATCTGCACCAAGAAGTGCGGCCTTGAGGTGGGCATGTTTGGGATTGCTCGAGTTAATCAACCCGTGAGCGATGTTCTCCAGCAGAGACCGGTCCAGCAGCGATGCCTCCTGCTGCACCAGACTCAAATAACTCCTCAAATCACGCACATTGAGCTCCTTGAGGTCATGGCCGTCGAATGTGATACGCCCCTGCGTGGGGTCGTACAGTCTCGTGGCCAGACCAGCGACGGTCGACTTGCCGCTCCCCGACAGACCGACAACGGCGGTGTGCTTGTGGGCCGGGATGGAGAGGCTCACGCTGTCGAGGACGGTGACCTCCGGTCGGGAGGGGTAGAAAAAGGAGACGTTCTCGAACTCGAAGCCGCCCTGCGCCTCGGGCAGGCGGGTGCCGGAGTCGCTGGTGCCGTCGATGAGGGACTCGCGGGTCATGTCCTCGCGCAGCTTCTCGAAGGAGGCGACGGCCGCTGCGAAGAGGTGGATGAAGGGGGCGACTTGGCTGAGGAGGAGGGTAGCTGTGCCATGCCATGTCAGTACTATTCACCCGCAGCAACAGGAGTCATGGGGGCCGGACATACCTTCAATCAGGATGAAAATGACTGTAAACGTTCCTCCGACAGTCGCACCACCGGTCCCCTGGCTGACAGCTTTGGCAATACTCTTGCTGCCCTGCCAGAACGCCAGACCGTTTGCAGAGTACGCCACAAAGTACAGCACACCAGACTGCATACCGATAGCAGCCGCCTTCTTCAAGCCCTGCTGCTCCGACGCCTTGAGCGCCTTGGAGAACTTGGCCTCCAGCCGCTTGTTCGCGCCAAAGGCCTGGACGACGGTCAGGTTGCTCAACGCCTCGGAGGCGATCGACGCCGCGGTGGCCGCATAGTCTGACATGAGCCCCGTGTACTTCTCGATGTAGTGGCTGCCGAGGAAGGACATGAGCATGTAGGCCGGGATCAGGCTGATGAGCATGGCGGCCAGCTTATAGTCCTTGATGAAAGCGACGATGTAGGCCGTCACGAAGAAGGACAGGCTGGAGAGGCAGATGCCGACCTTTTCGGACGTTCCGGAGCGGATGGTCTGGATGTCGGAGCTCAGCCGGGAGGCGACCTCGCCGGACGTGAGCCTGTCGAAGTATGACGGGTCCTGGCGCAGGAGGGACTCGAGGTAGCGCTCCCGCAGCCGCTGGGCGAGGCGGGCGCCATACAAGCTCCAGCAGACGAGGTGGGCGTAGATGAGGGCGAACTGGGCGATGGCGAGGTACACGATCATCAATATCTTCTTGTTGATGCTGCCTTGGTACTCGGCGTCGGAGGTCGAGGTGTCGGGCTCGTCGCAGGACACGGCGTTGAACTCGTTGAGCAGCTGGCCGAAGAAGATGCCGATCAAGGGGAAGGGGATGCCGGCCGCTATGGAGCATGTGAAGCCGCATATGAGGGTGAACAAGTCGCGAGAGGAAGGGTTGCCGGCGAGGAGCAGCCTGGGGAAGGCCGAGAGGTTGCTGGCGACGCCCATGGTGGCGGTTGGGGTGGTGGCTTGGTGAGGACCAGCCTCGAATGTGGTTGATGTTCGGTCAGATCTTGGGTGAGGCTATTCGCGAGTGAGAGTATAACAAGCTTTTTCGTTCGGACGGTTATCGTGTAAGTCTCGTCACGGTAGTTCTACAAAGAACCGATTACACACGGACAATGGTCTTCTCGACTTGATTCCAAGACTACTACTCCGACAGCTAGGTTTGACATCAAAGAAGGCCCAAGATTCACAAGACTTCGCGACGCACGACTCTTCAGCCGACTTCGGCTGATAGCTACAGTTACCTCACCAGCATTCTTGACTTTCGAGTCTCCAACTCCAACCCCCGGTCCCAAGGAAAGACCCGGACCTTGTCCCGCTCTCAGTGCCGCTCAGTCTCACAAGGAGTCTGTTATACTGCCGTGATTGGACGATGCGAGATTTTTTATCAGATCAGATAAAGAAGATGATCAGATAAAATTTTCGCTGTGCTAGACTGAGTGACTTCTCCGCTCGCCAAGGAGGCGGATGTCGTGCTCCTCTGTTGAAAAAGGACAAGGCCCCCTGTCAGCAGTAGGAACGGTCCATCCCTGCTTGGCCTTGGCTTCTTGCACTGTGTCGATGGTGTACACAGTGCGAGTCACAGACAGGGGGCGGAGGTTTGCGTGAGTTGCATTGCAGATGCCAAGGGGTGACGACGCAGGCTCTACGTGCGAAAGTGAGAAGACAGGTATTCGTATTGATGCCAGCTCGGCTAGGCTGTAACGTAATTGGGAAAGTCATGCTGCTGCTGAGTGAGCTGGTTGGTCTTCCAGGCACACCGCTAGAGAGAGCAGCAAAAACGAGCAACAAAAAGAAAATCCCCAGAGAGAGTCTTGAGAGGTAATATTGGCTCCGCCGTGAATCGAACACGGGTTGCATCGGATGTAGCGAGTACGAGTGTGTTCCCGAGAGAGGGGATGTCTCGTATTTCCACAACGATGAGTCTTGACCACTGGACCACGGAACCGTTGGGAGTTAGATGGAGAAGCATGTCGCATCCTGACTCGGTTGCTATTGAGACTGAGCACAATGGATGATGAATCGTGGACATGACTCTGATGTAGAGGGACAGAGAAGGACTATGAAGTCTTGCGGTTGGGGATGAGTCGACAGATGGTCTTGACTTCAATAAACGAACAGCATGAAATAGTTGGGCCGTTCGTAAACTCATACATCTCATTCCCAATCTACAACTTCGCATTCCAAGCCGCCCGATCAGCGCTCTCAAGCGGTCTCTCCCTCCCATCCCAAAAGATCGGGCACAGCTGGAACCACTTCTCCCGGCTGCAGACCGAGTGCACCGACCGCTTGTGGCCGAGGTCGACGTACTTGCCTATGGTCAAACCTTGCGCGTTCTCGTAGCTCAGGATGATCGAGCCGGACGCTTTTGGTTCGCCCACGACGTTGACCGTCCGCGGCTCGTCGAGGAAGCAGTAGTGGATGCAGCTCGAGTACCAGGCGTTGACGCGCTTGGCGCCCCTGAAGGAGCTGTCGCCCACGAGCGAGTGCCGGCCGCGGTCGTAGTCGTCTGCTGCGTAGTAGGCGCCGTAGTGATCCTCCTGTTTGTTGTACAAAGTTCGGTTAGTAAGTGATATGAGACATATTGGAGGATGCAAGAGAGACGTTACCTTTGACCAGTAAAGCTCGAAATAAGCAAACCTCGCATCGTCAAACCGGCCAAACAAACACAGCACGTGCGGATCATCGTGTAAATCCTTCAGATACTTCCGATGGTGATCCAGATCCCCCGACTCGTTCCACCCCGCCGCGACTCTGGGATCATTCTGCCACTTGTTGAACAGCTCCAGGTGCTCCCGGCTCTGCCAGTCCACCGCCTCGAGCGAGAAGTGCTGGCCCACCTCGGGTATGTACCGGCTGTACACGATGCTCCCCGGGTGAGGCTTGGGCCGCCGCGTCGGGTGCCGCGTGTACACGGGCTGGTCGGGGAACTTGTTGGTCACCTGCCACACCTCGGGCATGGGCGGGTACTGCGCCAGAGGTTGACGGATGGGACCGTCGGTGCCGTCGCCCACGGCCCAGATGGGGCGGGGACCCGCGGGGGAGGCGGCCCCCTGCCAGAAGGAGGCGCGGAGGACGAGGAGCTCGTCGCTGAAGGGCTCGGTGCGGAGGAGGGTCGCGTGGTCCGCGCGGCGCTGTTTCGGGTGCTCGATGGCCAGGCCGGTGGTGAGGAGCTCGGTGCGGAGGATGGCGCTGCCGGGGCCGGAGAGGGTAAGGCGGAAGTGCTCGTTTGTCGGGTGGGCGAGGTAGATTGCGTGGACTGCGTTCCATATCTGTCCTAGGGAGGGAGCGGTGTTGCCTTTCCATCGGAAGGTGGAGGATGGGCTGCGGCGGGCGCGTGCCCAGGGCCCGTTGTCTGAGGGTGATGGGAAGTCATTCTTGGGAAGCAAAGTCAACTCGGTCCAGGTGAGGTTGTCGGAGTGTAGTGGTTGGGGTGGTGCCCGTCCGTTTGAGGGCTGGCTGTCTAGGGTCAGGGCGAGGATCGCTGGTGATGTCTCGGCGACAGTCTGGACCTTATACGAGGTCAAGAAAGGGTGAGGAAGCTTCACCGCGGGGTAGTTCGGCGTGGAAGCCATCTTGTATTCTTGTTGATATTTGTGGTCAAGTGATCTGTGAGCAAATCTACACTGCAGGTGTGACTCGAACACAGCAATGAAAGATTATCAGTCAACAGACACCTTGACTAGCACCGGGCCCCGACAACCACAGAGTCGCGCTTCCGTCATTGCCCTCGGCCGTCGGTCGCGGTGGATGCCGTCGAGGCCACCCGATATCGCATGCGGATAACCCTGTGCTGCTCGTCCAAGGATGGTTCACATCAGGGTCGGTACCATGAATGAGTGCCAAGACGGCATGCGTCCGTCCACTGTAGCATCACTGTGCGTAGCGCCGGCCGCAAGGCCAGCTTCCTTGTAAAAACTCTTATCAGATCATCTGATCGACTTAGCGCTTGTGTGTCTCAGGTTCCCGACCCGCTCGACACCCCTTCGGACAAGTCACTCGGCCCACCAGGATCAGATAATTCAGAGATTTCACCGACTCTACCGCCCCCACCTGGATCAGATAACTTGCGAGGTCCGGAGATGTTCAGACTCTGCTGCTGCCATGACGATGAAAGTTTCACTTGAAGCCTCCACCTGGGCAGACTACCCCAGGCCCTGTGGTGCGGTTACAAAGCGGGGATGGCAAGCTCGAGGCGAAGTTGTACCGCATGGCCACTGCATCAGAGAAGGGGATCCCTCCGAAGCTAGCGTGCTGCCATCCACATGTTTCGGTACCATGAGTGGAGGTACGGTATATAGCCCGTAGCAGTCGGGGAACGCATGCTGTGTAGCTGCCACTGGCAGCTACATGTGTATGAAATCTCTCGCTGTTCGAACTCGACCTGACGCGACTCCCGTGTCTCCAAGCCCTACAATGTCCGCCAAAACGCCCCAACACTTTGAAAACTTTGACGTCACTTTCCCGGATGACCGGATTATCCAGGTTACGTTGACCAGGACCCAGAAGCTCAACTGTATCGACCTGCCAACTAGCAGGGACATTGCCAAAGTATGGGAGCGTCTCGATCAAGATGAAAGCCTATGGGTGGGAATCATAACGGGAGTGGGAAGGGCATTCTGTACCGGTGCAGACCTGCAAGGTAGGCGTCCTTGCACTCAGGTCGACTCACTTGAAGACAGCTGACGGCGAGGGTGGTGCAGAATGGAACGAGATGAACAGGAACGGCGAGGTCAACGACATGGCCGCACCGGGACTGGCAGGTCTGCCCCGACGAAGCGGCAAGAAGCCCATCATCGCGGCGGTGAACGGCATCTGTATGGGGGGCGGGTTCGAGATGGTGGCCAACTGCGACCTCGTCATAGCCGCCGAGTCGGCCGTCTTCTCCCTGCCCGAAGTTAAGCGAGGCATCGTGCCCGTGGCGGGCTGCATGCCGCGGCTGACCCGCTCCATTGGCTTCCAGCGGACCATGGACCTGGTCCTGACCGGGAGGAGCGTGCCCGCCAAGACGCTCCACGACTGGGGTCTCGTCTCCGAGCTGGTAGACGCTGGCAAGGAGGACGTGGCCAGTGTTGCGGTGAGGGTTGCGCAGGAGATGTGCAAGAACAGCCCCGATGCGCTGATTGTTGGCAGGATGGGGGTGAGGATGAGCTGGGAGGCTGGAAGTGTCGAGGAGACGGTGTCGGCGCTGGCGGACGAATGGTATCCTCGGCTCGTCAAGAGCAACAACTTCAAGGAGGGTATCCAGGCATTCGTGGAAAAGCGGACCCCGAGGTGGGAGAACTCCAAGTTGTAATATAGCGTTGTAGTCATAGTAAGCCGACCGTTCAAGAGCTCGGAACTTGGCAAGTGCTGGCCTGGATTGGCTGATTGGCATGAAAGGAACGAAAGATGCGCGTGCATGTTGGACTCCGATGTCGTCGTCCGGTAGCGTGTTTTAGCGCGTGCGTTGGTTCCACCTGCATCTTATCGTTGATCAGATAACCTAATTCCCACTCTCACCCCCACATGGAGAGTCCACTGTGTACAGTGTGTAGCTCACCCGACACGGACCACATGTCTTGACGAGTTTTCATCAGCTCCATCTTCGATCCACCTGCATCTTATCCTTCCATGCCAATGTCTGCCATGGCCCATCCCATCGCCGAGATCCTTGCGCCCGTGCTTGTCAGGCTTGTGCGCGGTAGCCGCACCAACTCCCGTCTTTGCCCGTCTTGACCCGAACGGTACCCGGCGCGGCCTTTCTTGCACAGTCACACAGTGCCCTTCATGGTTGTGAGGCTTGATCTAATCAGATGCGATGAATCTTATCAGATCAAGGGAAACGACTCCTCGCCAGGTCACCTTGTCCACTCATAGGTCCTTAACCATGGACAACCCCCCCGGGCAACCCTGTTGCTCTGACATGGCCCCCTGACGACTTGCCCCTAGGGCCCCAGCCCTCCTCATGTTGCGTTGGTTCCAGCGACACGATTTACCGGGGACTTTGCCTAGTGCCCCGTCTCGTCACTTGGCAGGAGGAGACAGGCCACACCAATACATACCAGCCGCAGATGGTGCCCAGTGATGCCCAGGGCTCTGGCCGCACCCCTTCAGCTAAATAGTCACCATCTGTGAGCTGGGCCATCGCCTGATTGATAGCTTGGAAGCTTGGCCCAATCGCTAACCCATGTTTCCCAACGCTCTGTCACGGCATGCCGAGACCCGACGTCGGGGACCATGGGCCTGGGGGTGAAGGGCGGGAAAGGGGGGTCACTTATTGTCTGGGAGGGATTAAAACAGAGCTGTCCCGCACAAAGCACGTGGAATTTGAATCAGTCGGATGCTACTTTACCTCCTGCAAGACCTCCATTTCCCTTCTTCTGCATTCGGCGTGTCTCGTTACAACCGCGAACGACTCGCATTGCCATTAAACGACCATGGGCGTATTCTCCAAGCTGAAGCCTCGAGAGGCACATCCAGTCTCTGCGGCGGACGGTATTACTGGCCCCGACATGGAGAACAAGACTGCTCAGGCCACAGACGATGCTGTCAACTCGAATGATGGGGAGACTTCATCACACGAGGACAATGTTCCAACTGAGGATGCTCAGGACGGTGTCAAGGAGGTCGAGGGCATGACCTTGAGTTGGTCCAAGAAGTCACTCATCGCCGTCTTTGCAAAGTATGTTTCCGCGTGTATATCCGCCTGTGTTTGCCGTACTAAACATCAATCACAGCATCTGGTTGCTGTACTTTGTCAACGCCTTCCAGGGCTCTATCCTGTACAACCTGATTCCGTACGCAACCAGCGAGTTCGATTCACACTCGCTGGTCAATGTCATTTACGTGGTCGCCGCCTCCATGTCGGCGGCGACTTACATCCCTCTGTCCAAGATCCTCGACGTCTTTGGCCGTGCTGAGGGCTTCCTGCTGATGCTGGTCTTTGCCACGCTTGGTCTCATCCTC